GCGCACCGTGTGCCAGCACCGGTACAGGGTTACAGGTAGTGTGACCCGGCGTCACTTACAAGGCAAGGTAGCAGTAACAGTTGTCTGAACTCTGAGGGCTTACGTGCCCTCCCTCCGCCTCCCCACAGACTCCTTAAAACCAGTATTTGGTTCAGTTATTATTTATTATTGCATTGAAAGGATACTATTTGATTTACAAACACACAGAATGTTATTTATTACATTTTTACAAGGCTTTTGAACACAAACTATTTTACAATAAATACGACTTTCAGCCCTCTCACCACCTGTTATTGATAAATATTTATTTTCATATTTTTTGTATTATTTCCCAGATCTTCATAATTCCTCATACATACAGTAGCTGTAGCAGCAACTTCATCAGAGCAATTGTTTAGTCAACCTTTTCTTCATTGGAGCTACTGGACTTGTTACAGCACTGCAGTTCTACAACAGTCCCTCTTCTTCCAATTTCTTACTCTCCTGAATGATCATTTTTAGAAAATCCTTCTCAGCATGAAGCAATCCATTAATGAAGATCCATTAAAACTATTCCTGCATCTGTTAGCGGTGAACTCCTTTGATTTTGTGACACAGCATTGTCCTTTGGGAACAATCCTTGATGTGTCCTGTGTTTTCACTTTTGTGTTTGTTTGTTTCTTTTTTAAAATGAGATCAGAGAGATGTTGTCATGAGAACAATAAAGTCTGTAGTGACTGAGGAATGTACTATGACCAGATCATTAATACTCAGAAAAAAAAAAATCAGGTTTTCTGGAACAGGTGGGTTGTTATTTGATTTTAGAAGAAAGAAAGATAGATCAAACTTAACAAAACGCCAAAAGCAAACACCATTTTAAGGAACATGTGATCTTCTTGGCAAGTAGGTCTTGTTTTAAGATAATGATCCACAGAATCAGCCAGAGAGAATTTCTTTGGTTTGTAGCCAAGTTGATTTCGTGCCTTGTCTATCCGGAAAGTGTGAGTTACAGTAACATTCCACACCTAAAATCCAAACGGACAGTCAAGAGAAGTGAACTTAATATCTGATTTTCTAGAACTGGGATGAAAATATGTCAATAATGATACTACAGTGGAATTAAAAACATGCCTAAAGATAGGCATGCAAAAATGTATACATTTTGGAGTTGGATTCTGTCCAGAGGTAACAGAATAAGTTGACGTAGCTTGACAGGTAAAGAGCCAAAGCTCAGAGGACTGAGTACAGGAGTTTATGATGCTGTTTTCTCACTTGTGAATGTGAGAATAAAGAACTAAGCACAATTCCCTCAGACGGGCTCTTCTGTACAGAGAAATGCACAAGGGAACTGGATGAATGCATTGGAGGGGAGTGGTGTGGCTTCTCAACTTTGCAGAAATGCATTATCTAAGGATGCACTTCTGAAGAGTTATATCCTCCACCTGTCAATGCGTGGTGCCTGTGAAAGTGCTCAACTCACTTTCACAGTCTCAATTTCTGCTTCAGATATAGAATGTAGAAGTAAGTATAAAACCAGATAGATAAATTGTGGAATAACCAAAAAGCTGCAGCAGTAGTTCGTAAGATCCATTCAGTCCCTTCAGTGTCCTACTGTGTTACATGCTACAGTATAGTAAGAGACTAGATGATAGATTAGTTAGAAGCATTTTGGCTTATATTATAAATCATAATATTGTACAAAAACACGTTAGATCAAAATGAATTTGTCCAGAAGTTGGCAGTTGGCTTTTGGTTTGTTTGTTTGTTGTTTGGTTGTTTTTTGGTTTGTGGGTTGGTTGGTTGTTTTTTTTTTTCCGAAAATTGACTTTTCATTCCAATTTAGAATTATTTTTAGTAGCCTTCCTAATTATTAGCTAGCCTGGTATTATAACTGCTACCACTTTGACCTGAGACTCTTGCTCTGTCCTCTGGGACCACCTTCCTTTAACAAGTAGTTCCACAGCATAGGACAGCTCGCTGGAAATGATGTAGTGCCTGTTTTCCTCTCTGTGCTAGCTCTGGGTCAGTCGCTCTGTCTTACACCTCTAGAATGTTTCTTTGGATCATCTAATCTTCAAGTAAGGAGTAATTAATTTCTGATGACTTTGGTGGCCAGTATGGCATGAAAAATCAGGCTACAAAATGGCTGTGTAAGCCCTGACTGGACTACACTCCGAGCAGAAATACAGAGCTCTACTGCAGACAGTCCTGTCTGCATCCGAAGGGTGTATCATGTACTTCACGAGAATTTTGGTCAGAAATACGTAAACATTATATCTTTTTATATATTTACCTCATTTCTTGTCAATAAAGGTGTAAAGTTAAAAACTGGCTGCAGTATCAGGTGCAGATACTCCATCACAGTGGCTGTGAAACAGAAAGGTACTTTATGAGACAACTAGATAACCATAAACTGAGATAATGCTGACATTGCACAGCCTATAACCCCTATTGATATCAGAGAATGCAATTAAGGTGGTAGAAGGCAGTATTTAATTTATAAAGTACGTGAGGGACTCAGTTTATGAATAGTCTTTACACTTTATCTGGTATAATTAATGCAAAATGGCATAAATTATTATTATTAATTAGAATAATGTTAAATTATATAATTCCTACAATTTGGGTCCTTGCATTTTATAAAACCATTATGTAGCTTTATAGGAATAAGAAAACAAATTTAAAAAATAAATAGCACAATCAGTAAGTATGTATTTTATTATTTTTACCTGCCATATGAACCAGGAGAACTGGAATACGTATCCAGGGTTTCCTGTAGCCTAATTTTTCAAACTAGAAGGGGGGTAAAAAGAAAGAATATCAGAGAATTTATACCAAATTGAGGGTGTCAATGAAGCATGAAAATGGAAAAATGAATGTTTATAAAACATGTATCTAAACTTTTTTTTCAGCTAATCTTCCTATCAATACTGGTAGTCAGAAATGTGATTAAACCCACTACTCATTTTTTGATGCCCACCTCCCACCCTTCAAAAGCAACTGGATGGTAAAGGGGAAACAATGCTGTTTCCAAGGGGCAAGTGACCGAGACTGGAATACTGAACTACATTTAGATACAGGCCCATCATTCTACTGCAGTAATTTTCCTGGAAGACTTTTCTGTGTTGGCATTGCAAGATCAAAACTTCAGCATGCTCCTAAAATCCCAGCCTGATGTTGATGAAAATAAAACGTTGCTTCTTTTAAGCTTTTAAGATACCAATCTAAATGGCCTTCCCTTTTGTGCTGCACTTGATGCCAGGACAAAGAAATAAATAATGGTTATAAAAGGCTTGCCAGATGCTAACAGTAGAACTTCTCATGCACTGTGAGCTCGCTTCACAGAAATACGACTGTTCCGCAGTAGGTTCTATATCTCTCAGCTAAATTCCCTTAGAACACTAAGGGCCAAACTCCACAGTTATGCCTATCCGAAACTGCCCTTAAAGCCAGTGGAAATTTGAGATATGCAGCTAGAATGTTAATTAATTAATTCAGCAATTAATGTGCACTGCATTTCATTTAGTTAGTATGGTCTTTTAGTGAACGATAGGATTAGGTGCATTAAATGTGCGTGCAATACATACCAAAGGGACTATCCATTCAGAAAATATGACGTTTTCACCATCATGTATGTAATAGGCCTGACCACTCTGTTAAAGAAGCAGAGAAAAACAATTAGAAAAACACTGCACGTAGGATGACATTTTCTTTCTCTCTCATACCTACCTTTCTTGACTTCGTGAATAACACGCCAGCATGCACACGGTGAACGCACACAACTCAGCTCAACAAACCACTTTCACTGGACTTCACTGTGATCTCAGACACGTCTCATGCTTTTGGGTAACCCCATGGTGGTAATCATGATTAACCATGGTGTAATGTAGATCGGAGCTTGATTTCACTATGTAGTAACTCTGCTTTTAAAAGCATTAGATTCTTCATGACATACAGGGCATAGAATTATCTTTGTGAGTCCAACAGAATTGGCAACACTGACAGCATTTAATAAATACAGCTTTTTGAGGTCAAGTTCCACCTCTGGCTAATTTTCTGATGAAGATAATTGTGGTATATATATTCCGTGGGACATGTCAAAGTGCTTGAATCCACTTTTAGCTTCCAGTCTACCTTCTTCCAGCAGGCAAAACTTCCTCGACAGCCGTGCTCTGGGTGAGGAGCCTGTCCAACAGGGAGCACGGGGAACACCAAGCAGACCCTGGGAGTCTGGGCATTACTTCCTTCTAGAACAGCTGCGTAGCTTCCAAGCTCTTAACTAGTTGACAGCACATGGCAGGATGTTCAGACATATCTGTACCTGTTGTCTGTATGTTCCTACCATCATAAATGAAGCTGGAACCTTCAGGAGCTGTGAATGTAGTAGCTGCTGCAACACTGTCAGTTCTGTAATGCTTCACAGTCCTCAGATTGTTGTTGCAATTATGACCAGTAGAAGAAAAAGAAAAATCTTTAAAAATTGTCCATTAATTTTGTACTTCTCTCTTTGGAATTTTCAACCCTGAAAAACTGGAATGCCTCAGAATGGTTGCTCTAAATTTTATGTTACGCATCTAGAATCAGAATATACAAGTTTGTATGAAGGTGAATATATTAACCTGGTTAAAAATACTATTTCTTCCAATCAAATAGGAAATTATATATTTTTAAACCACAAAAAAACCCCCACCAAAACCAAACGAAAACCAGCATCAAAATATTAGCAGAATGTATTTGCATTTTGCACTGTCCATGTGCTTGTTGAATCACACACCATTTTTGAGAATTTAGCACATGACCTTTTGGAGAAACTTTGATCTCAGAACATCAAAAATTAAACCTATTTGAGAGCTATAGCTACGGACATAATGTTAATATTGTTTACTTACAGCTACATAACCTTTCTCGGGGGTGAGAGCCTCAGCAGCTAGTAAGTGAGCTTGTACTAGATTTCCTATGTGAACCCAGTTCATCTGAACTTTGTGATTTCCAAACTTGAAGTTAAATAGTCTCCGCTGGATATTTACCTGTAGAAACAGAAAATATGAAATAACTACATTATTCCTTTATTATGCAGTATAATGTATTCATTTTGGCTCAGCCCGCACACTTACTATTTGCTGTCTTTGAGTACAATTACAGCACAAGAAATGTGTCACAAGAAAAAAACCAACCAACTAGTTGGTGGTTTTATAATCAAGGACTGTTGCACTGATACTTAGTGGTAAAATATGGTGACATCATAGTGTTTGGCTGACACTATGGGATGCAAACCTAGTTCCTCCATCATGGCATTTCAGCTTTGCATTTTTTCCTTTTCACTTAAAAGTACAGCTTGATCCTTGCCATTTCTGCAGGGCTCCTATCATGTAATCTCTTATCTTGCACCATCTGACCTGTCAGCAGTCACAACAGTCTTCCTGGAGGAATTGTTAAGAACTGTAATCAAGATACTTCCA